GGGGAATAGTTACAGGGGAGAGGAGGGGGATGAATGAGCCAATTGGAAGCTAGGGATGATTAGGTGACCAAGATTGTATGAGGTCCAGATTGGGAATTTAGCCAGGACACCAGGGTTAACACCCCTACTATTTTTTTTAGACCAGAGGAACAAGTGCCTCCTACTGGCCCTCCAACACCACTTCCAGAAGCATCTGGTCTCCCATCCAGGGACCAACCAGGACCAACCCTGCTTAGCTTCAGAGATAAGCCAGCAGTGGGATGCAGGGTGGTATGCTGCTGAACATCATTGTCACCATTGTGGAGGTGTTATTGTCACCATAGGATCAACTGTACAACAGCATCTATTTGTCATTTGGGTGGGTTCTCATCAAGGGGACACATGGCGCCACATAGCTTCTCATGACCATGACTGTTTTGTGTGCATGTAGCTGGGATGTTGTGCAGATCAGGGGCAGTATCTGAGGTGACTCACCTCCCCATGGCCATGAGGCACAGGGCAGGGCCAGGGAAGAGGGAAACACACTGGATCCCTCCAGCCCAACTCCCATCTCCCTGCTCTGGTCCAGGATGATGGAGCCACTCTCTGCCCTCCAAGTACACATAAACATCACATTCTGGATGGCTCGATCCTAGTGTCCAACACAGTTGACAAATGTGGAAGTATCGGCCATGTGAATGTATAGGAAAGAGGAGTGTGATGCAACAAACAGGAAAACATCAATCATAGAGTTGGTGAAGAAGATCACCAAAAACTCTGAAATGTCCATCCCCAACTACAACATTTTCCGTCTAGATAGAACTGCCAAAGGGGGTGGAGTTGCAATCTACTGTAGAGATCTATCATACTATCCAGGTCTGTGCCCGGACAGTTTGAGCTTCTACTTCTAAAAATCCACCTCTCCAGAAATAAGTCTATCACTGTTGCCGCTTGCTACAGACCCCCCTCAGCCCCCAGCTGTGCCCGGGACACCATATGTGAATTGATTGCCCCCCATCTATCCTCAGAGTTCGTACTGCTTGGTGACCTAAACTGGGATATACTTAACACCTCGGCCGTCCTACAATCTAAACTAGATGCCCTCAATCTCACACAAATTATCAAGGAACCTACCAGGTACAACCCTAAATCCGTAAACATGGGCACCCTCATAGATATCATCCTGACTAATTTACCCTCTAAATACACCTCCGCTGTCTTCAACCAGGATCTCAGCGATCACTGCCTCATTGCCTGCGTCCGTAATGGGTCCGCGGTCAAACGACCACCCCTCATCACTGTCAAACGCTCCCTAAAACACTTCAGCGAGCAGGCCTTTCTAATTGACCTGGCCCGGGTATCCTGGATGGATATTGGCCTCATTCCGTCAGTAGAGGATGCCTGGTTGTTCTTTAAAAGTGCTTTCCTCTCCATCTTAAATAAGCATGCCCCATTCAAAAAACTCAGAACTAAGAACAGACATAGCCCCTGGTTCACCCCAGACTTGACTGCCCTTGACCAGCACAAAGACATCCTGTGGCGTACTGCATTAGCAATAACAGCCCCCGTGATATGCAACTTTTCAGGGAAGTCAGGAACCAATATACACAATCAGTTAGGATAGCAAAGGCTAGCTTTTTCAAACAGAAATTTGCATCCTGTAGCACTAACTCCAAAACGTTTTGGGACACTGTAAAGTCCATGGAGAATAAGAGCACCTCCTCCCAGCTGCCCACTGCACTGAGGCTAGGAAACACGAGTCACCACCGATAAATCTACAATAATCGAGCATTTTGCTACGGCTGGCCTTGCTTTCCACCTGGCTATCCCCCGCTACAACTTTCCCCTTCACCCAAATTCAGATAGCTGATGTTCTGAAAGAGCTGCAAAGTCTGGACCCCGACAAATCAGCTGGGCTACCGACAAATCAGCTGGGCTAGACAATCTGGACCCTTTCTTTCTAAAATTAGCCGCCGAAATTGTAGCAAGCCCTATTACTAGCCTGTTCAACCTCTCTTTCGTATCATCTGAGATCCCCAGAGATTGGAAAGCTGCCGCGGTTATCCCCCTCTTCAAAGGGGGTGACACTCTAGATCCAAACTGTTACAGACCTATATCCATCCTGCCCTGCCTTTCGAAAGTATTTGAAAGCCAAGTTAACAAACAGATCACCGTCCATTTCGAATCCCACCATACCTTCTCCGCTATGCAATCTGGTTTCCGAACACCAAACGTGTTTGCTTATTTCTTACTTTAAGCAATGGCTTTTTTCTGGCCACTCTTCCGTTAAAGCCCAAGCTCTTTGGAGTGTACGGCTTAAGTGATCCTTATGGACAGACACTCCCAATCTCCACTGGGAGTTGTCTACTCCTTCAGGGTTATCTTTGGTCTCTTTGTTGCCTCTCTGATTAATGCCCTCCTTGCCTGGTCCGTGAGTTTTGGTGGGCGGCCCTCTCTTGGCAGGTTTGTTGTGGTGCCAGATTCTATTTTTTAATAATGGATTTAATGGTGCTCCGTGGGATGTTCAAAGTTTCAGATATTTTTTTATAACCCAACCCTGATCTGTACTTCTCCACAACTTTGTCCCTGACCTGTTTGGAGATATCCTTGGTCTTCATGTTGCCGCTTGCTTGGTGGTGCCCCTTGCTTAGTGGTGTTGCAGACTCTGGGGCCTTTCAGAACAGCTGTATATATCCAGAGATCATGTGACACTTAGATTAACTAATTATGTGACTTCTGAAGGTAATTGGTTGCACCAGATCTTATACCAGGGCTTCATAGCAAAGGGGGTGAATACATATGCACGCACCACTTTTCCGTTATTTATTTTTAGGAATTTTCTGAAACAAGTTATTTTTTTCACTTCATTTCACCAATTTGGACTATTTTGTGTATGTCCATTACATGAAATCCAAATAGAAATCCACTACAGGTTGTAATGCAACAAAATAGGAAAAACGCCAAGGGGGATGAATACTTTTGCAAGGCACTGTATGTAGTGGTCATTGAATGGGTTGTGTACATGTGAAGCATAACTGTTGAGCACAGGTGACGTGAGATACAATCAGGAGCTGCAATCTGACTGAAAATACATCTCTTTAATGGCGTGCATGAAAACAGTCATCTGACTTGTGTCCATGTAGATTCATAGCTCCCTGACATCTGGAAAGGGAGTGTCTCAGGAATACAAGTAGTCTAACTGAAGATAGTCAAAACAAAAGCAGGAACCAGAATGAGAAATGCTTAGCTCTGTCGCCTTTATTGGTTACCGTATCATTTGCAAGATCTACTCAAATTGATGACAACAGGTTACATAGCGTACTGTCAGCAGCAACAGATACACAGCAGGAGAAAATAGTATCAGTCATATCAGCCAGAGAAAGAAACCTACCCCTTGTGTACAGAGTTGGAGAAACTCTCATTCCGATCGAGTCGACATATGCAGCGTTTACCGTGAATGCAGTCTCCGCGACCGCGGGAACATTGCCTTTAATTGTCAATCGCGCTATAAAGCGGAACTTCAGTGCCACGGATTGAATAGAGCCCTTACATACTGTGTGCTGTATATTCCCTCAACATACTGTATCAGTTGCCCTTAAGAACTCCTTTCAGATAAGTGTTCCCCCACCATGATCCCAGTAATAACCGACAGTATTACCGTAGCTACGAAATGAAACTTGCCCTGGACACGCAATTAGTGGGCCTTTTCTACATACAATACCCATATATTTCTGACCTATTCAATCTTTCTGTTTCTGACCAATCAGGTACACTAACACAGGGTATTTGGATTATGACATATTCTTTATGGTGGATAATATCCAGAAGTGGTCTCAACTACAACACTAGTGGATATCATAGAATATAGAACCTAGAACAGTCTCTATGGTAGATATACACTGTATGAAAAACATTGAAAGTCACAGTATAGGAAGAACATAACTATTTTTTTGTGCTATCTATTGAGGGAAGCGATCTGAGTAAGATATTTGAATGAAAGTGCTGATTTAAAACCTTTTGCTTTTTAATGAGTTATGCATCCAGTGAGCGAGATGAACAGGGGAATATTTGTATGCATTCTACGTCCCATCGGAAAAGCCAGAACATGACACAAACATAATCTCCATTGTCAGTTCACCTCCTTGTCTGTGGAAAGATTGAAGTCTCTTTCCCTCAACAGTGAAGTACTCTAAATAATAGGGTAAATACGTAGGTATAAACATTCAAACGTTGGACAGGGATACAAGTTACTTGAAAGCAATTTCAAACACCATACATTTAATGGTCTACCAACTCTCAGATTTACGACATGACAGCTATACAGTTGTAACAGTCTCTTGGTCAGGCTATGAAGGGCCTGCATGTTTAGGATGCTGCCTGTTCACAAGAAGAAAATATCATATGTCTATACTACCAATTTATAAAAAGGGTTATTTTCACTACATTTTACCGTTATTGTATTTTCAGGTGATAAGTACCAGGATTATTAAGATTAAGTTTATCCTTTTTGAAACATGCCTATTTTATGCAAAGGGAGATATGACATAGGTTAAAATTCAGGCTCAAATAAAATACAAATCATTTATGCTTGAGAAACAGACAGTGCTCATGTATCCAATGATAATGCAGGTTATTGTGTCACAGATAGCACACTCTCAGTGGGGGTGTGTAACAATATGGTATGCGGGTGGTGCAGTCAGTGTGAGTCCACTATCAATTCCCCCAACTCTGAACCATGACCTTTACCCCCTTCAACCCAGTTTAATAAAAACAAAAAATCATAATAATCATACATAGATCAGAAGAGCAAGCCAACACTTTCAATCTTTTTGCTCTCACTAAGCATGACCACAAAGTTTCTGCTTGTCTTTGTTTCATGTTGAAGCGTGGTTGTCCAACCTTGATGAATTTACCCCCGCACCCCCCAAAGATCCTTCACTGCCCTTCCTCCTACCCACTCCCTCTCTTCTTCAGTGCCCTGGGGAGGTGAGGGTGCTGGGGGCGGGGGCGGGGGGGGTCTACTCAGTAGGGATTTTCCTCTTGGAGGGGGGGATGAGGTGACCGGGGAGGTCGGCGGGCAGTTCGTGCCCCTCCAGTTTGACTTTGATCAGGTGATTGGCCAGGGCAAACTCCTCATCATCCAGCATCCCATCCTTATCGATGTCAGCCAGCTTCCAAATCTTCCCCAGCACAGTGTTGGGCAGCTTGGACTTCACCATCTCCTTCTTGGCGTTGGCGCCCGTCACTTTCCCATTGACCGGCGACAGTGTGTAGAAGATCTCGTCGTACATTGGCTTGTCGCGGGCCACCACCCACTCTGCCTCATCGATGCCCTCCCCGGCACCCTCGCCGTAGCCATGGCCAAAGGGCCCGTTGAGGGTGCCGTCAAAGGCCCCTCCCTTCACCACCTGCTGGGGTCGGTTGGTCTCCTCCTGCCTGACCAGCACCATGAGGCTGGCGATGTCATGGGCCAGCATGTCATCCACTGTGTCCAGCAGCTTCATCTTCAGGGGCTGGAACTTGTTCAGATCATGGGCATTCAGTTGCTCCTATAAGAGCGGAGAGAGGGCAGAGGTTACAGGTCAAAAGAGCTGTGTTTTCAGGGTAAAGCTGATCTTCGTTGATACATCTTTACAGTCTCTAATGTTTGAGAGGGAGTCAGAACAAGGTACATGACTGTCCTGGTCTGTGCATCAGAGATACATTTATGTCAGAAAGGATCAACATGACTGCTGTTTATTTTCTACCCTGAGCCAAGTCATGATAGTGAGGAAAGCACTGGGGGTGGTTCAGATGTAATGGCTGATCACAGCCAATCAGAAAGTAGCTGTTTTGTCACCATGGCTCAAAGCAGTCTGTCCCAGTAGGGCAGACACATTGGTGTGTTAGCTCAGTCAACAGATTTTGTGTTTGCTTGAAAACAGCACAAATTGTGGGCTTTCTCCAAAGCCAATCAGGCTCTCTTGGTAAACATGACAATGTGAGTCATGTTTGTAGTCATACTTTTAGGCTTTTAGGTATACATGCTATGATGTTGTCTGTCCAGCCCATATGCTGCATTATACATCTACTCTTATACCTTACTCAGGAGAATCCACGTGTATCTATCAGAGTGTCTATCTCACCTGCATCTTCTTGAGGTTGGGGAAGTCTCCAGGGGAGATCTGGTGTTCTCTCTCGATGCGGCTGTAGATCTCTCCCAGGCTGTTGATCAGCTCCTTCTTCTTGCCCTCCTTTCCAAACACACTTGGCATCTCCTTCTTCAGAGAGCTGATGATGTAGGCATGGACCTACAAGGAAACAGCAGAAAACAACAGGACTGTTAATACCAAGTGGGGCAGAGAGAAATCACTCAAGTAATGCAGTGTTTCCCATACAGGGGTTGCAGCCAGCTCCTCTTGGGTCATAGTTTTGTTTATGTGTCTGTTGTGCCACTAAGGGCTCTTTAATATTTCCCTTAATCTCCCAAAGTCATTGAAACTGAAAATAAATACCTGATATTATAAACATTCAAACAGGAAGGAGGCACTTAAAGCAGTTTTATGAGGGTGCATGTGGCAGGTATCACATCCGGCTACACAAGAGGTTCCCTTTCCTTAGGGTTTCCTAGAACTGAGAGGTGAAGGGGAAAATAACCTCATCACACGACTGGCTCTCCTTGAGATTTCTGAGAGATAATTCACCATGAAAGAAGAACTTCACATGTTATGTATGCTATATCTGAATGCAATACTGAACATAGTATGTGGATTTGAAAGGAGAACTACAGATTAAAAATGAAAAGACACATGATTGCTGAGATAAGGAATACTAAAAGTGGAAAACAAGTTTCAAGCAGTGAAACGGCAACAGCAACTCAAATCCAAGGCCACAATGTTTTTGTTGATATTCAACAGTTGCTCCAGACATTATTGACTGCATTTAATGAGGAATAAAAGCAATTTAACAATAGTAGGTGAAGGGGTGGAAGTAACGAATTACAAATACTCTCGTTACTGTAATTGAGTAGCTTTTCCGAGTACTTGTACTTTTTTTTGTATTTTTCAAAGGCAGTCATTTGACTATACTTTACTTAAGTATGTTTTGAATGAAGTATTGCACTTTGCTACCTTTTAGAAACCATCTGTTAAAGAGTAAAATTTTGTAGGCTATCCATAATAGTAGATCATGAGGGCACGGAAAGTTTGCGAGAGCCCCTTGGAGGCAAAAAAAAACTGCTCATCGTTTCTAGTCAGTGACCAATTAAATAAAATGTCACACATCATCACACCAATACAGGCCAATCAAGCTGTGCATACAAACAGGGGAGCTGGATGGGTACCTTGCCTGTGTGTCAGACAAGATGGACTTGCTTCATTCCTTTCCATACAGACAGAAAGGAATTCAACTCTACTTTCAGATGTGTGTCCCTCAAACTGAACAGAGGCCTGCCTTCCTCTGCCGCCTGTGAGAATCTTTTTAGCTGTGTTGGACGGCTCTTCACTGCAAAGCGAGCCAGGATAGACTCTTTTCACTTGGAAAATCAGCTCCTGCTGAAACTGAACAGCAAGTTCAGAGAGAAGTGAAGGCATTAGAACAGAACTCCTTTGTTTTTGCTCAAGGAACACTACACAACCTGATGTTCTCTGTACATGTAGCCTATATATATGGCGGCCAGTTTATTAAGTACACCACCCCATTCACGTAAATGGTTTGTTCCTACAGACTGTGAGTCACGTGGCCGTGGCTTGCTATATAAAGCAGGCAGACAGGCATCGAGGCATTCATTTACTGTTCTATTGAACGTTAGAATGGGCAAAACGAGTGACCTAAGCGACTTTGAGCGTGGTATGATCGTCGGTGCCAGGCGCGCCGGATCCACATGGACCAACATGGACCAACATCCCTATGGAACGTTTCCGACATCTTGTAGAATGCCCCGAAGAATTCAGCCTCTTCTGGAGGCAAAGGGGGGACCGACCCGGTACTAGATGGGTATACTGGCCGGTGAGTGTATAGTTTATCAATCTAATGCAACATCTATAGCCCCTTCTCTATTTCAGGGGGGTTTGCTCATTAATCTTTATTTCCATGGTGTTCTGTTGTTGCCTCCAGAGCTAATTTGACATCAAATCCTTTAGGTAGGTCCAGTGTTCCCTGGCACTCCCCATTTGGCCTTGAGTGAGTGAGAGAATGAGAGAAAGAGGGAGTTTGTGAGTGAGGGGAAAAGGGAGTTTGTGAGGGAAGGAAAGAGGGACGGAATGAGTGAGGAAAAGTGATTTTTTTGTTTATGCACTTTATTTTGTATTGCTTATAATTCATCAATACATTTTAATAGCTTTGAATGTTTCATGTATTTTCAAATATGATTATCATTGACAAATCTTTTTGTTTTTTTTATATTCAGATGTGCCTTGCTGCAACTCAAACAATAAAGGAACCTAGTTCATTTTGTACATTATTTCCTCTCTTCTTCATTCAATTTATTGTACAGAAAAAAATGATGTGTAACAACGTTCAGGTAACCTTAGGGAAATTAGCTATAAGATTAATGTTTTTATTTTAAAAGTAACTACATTACTTTCAGTCTGAATGATTTTTAAATGAGCTACTTTCTACCTTTACTTGAGTCGTTTTTTACACCAGTAGTTTTACTTCTACTTGAGTAAAATGTCATTAAAGTAACAGTACTTCTACTTAGGCGGATGGATGAGCACACTGCTGCTGACAGCAGAGGAAGACCACCTCTCTGGTCAGGACAGGAGACAGGACAGGGACCAGGGGACGGGGAATAGGGGGACAGGGGCAGTGGAGGCTGCTAAGGGGAGGATGGCTCAGACATCCTGTTGAACAGCCACCTGAGGAGGGCCCTACCTGAATTTGTCCAATAGAAACTCTCATTTTGCTCTGTATTCTTCAGTTTGGTTCTTAAACGGTAAACGGTTTCCGTAATGAATACACCCCAGGTCTCGTTGTTATTAGAACAAACACTGCTGATGCTCTCTCAAGGTCTTTCTGCACATAATTCAATATCCCCCCACCTCCCTGCTTGGCTCTACTATCCAAATCCCTCAATCATCCCTTCATCCCTCCCCCAGCCACGAATCATGCTTGCACATGTAGATCCAGTTGAATCCCACTGTAAGGTCAGGGACATCCCAGGAATTATGACAGCTCATCAATTAAACATTCCCCACTGTTCGTAATCACACACACCCTCTCTGTTTGTTTAGCCATAGGGTGATAATATTGTACTGCAAATCACGTTTGCCTGAGATTGGTGGCAACACAATATCGGCCACAACTCACGGCTAGGTCATCACAGAGGCATAGTGGTGTTAGGGTGTATGGCTGTCCGGGAGGGTAATATATTCAGCATTGGGGAGTGAGATTCTTCATGTGAGGCTGATTGTTAATCATCTGATGGTATTGGACACACCCAGTGCCTAAATTACCTGTCTTTATCCTGACCATTGCTGTGATCCCTGGATGCTCATCCATCGGTCAGCCAGTAGGCCTTGACCACAGAACAACTGTCCTTGCTATTCATTTTTCTATCTAGCTTGAAGAAAAGAAAAAATCATCAATATAATGACTTATAAAACCTAGTCCTTGTGGAATGATTTCTATTGCTGTAAAATTATAATTAACCGTTTTTTATTGACTAGTAAAAAATTTAATAAAAATAGGATTTGTTTCCAAACTGCATGAAGTGAGTTATAAATAAAACATAATTCCTGTGTCCTGGGAAAAAATCATACTCCCCAAAAAATGTAAGATGAATCTGGGGTTGAAGTCAAGGTTTTTCCATGAGTCTCTACGCCAAGTGAACAGTAGTGACCTATGACTGATAATTGATTTGGTGTGACTTTGGGTTCTGTGTCACCAATGCTTTATGACTCTATTACAGTGTAGCTCAGCTGTGAAGGTATCCGGGTACAGCCACTGTACCAGCCCTCATCTCACCATGCAGTCACATAATGTTCCCCTGAGGAGAGGGATGGCAGCTCCGCTCTGTAGGGGAAGGTTATCGTATTCTAACAAAGTGGGTGTGATTGCACTCATTACTCTTGCATAGTGAGTCACTATATTATAGTTCCTGGTCAGTCAGGGCAACTGTATGGTCTCTCTTGAGATACTATTCCATTCAAAGACCTCTTTAACAAATACTTTTCTTCTCTTTGGAAAAATGACTTAATACTTAATAAAAGAGAACTTCCTAGTCAGGCCAAAATGACATTGTGCTTAGGAGTCCTTTCCACTCTTTTCTGAGAGAATGTGTGTGTGCATGTGTGTCCGTCCATGCGTGTGTGTGCATGTGTATGAGTTCAGCGCTTACCTTGGCGAGCCGTGCCCTTTTGATGAGGTCATTGAGCTTCCTGAGGGCAGCGTTGCGGGGCAGTGACTGGATGTCCTTGAACAGGTCCTGCTCCTCTGCCTCAAACAGTTTACGGTTGTCAGGGATGAGCAGTGGGTGCGACCAGAACGACCCGATATAGACACGGATGACCTCGGGCGTGTTGACGATCTTCCCCAGCGACCACATGAGGGCGCCATAAACCCTCATCAGCTGCTGCGTCTCGATCTGGTCAGCCTTGTTTAGAACCACCCGGATCTTGTCTTCGTGGTTCTTCAGGGCCTTGATGACCTCCGAGAACTCGTCTGAGATGTCTAGCTTGTGGGCGTCAAACAGGAGGATGATGCGGTCCACACGTTCGGCAAACCACTCTAAAACGGCTGCGAAATCGTAGCCTGGAGAGGGGGGTGAGGGAGGTGAGAGGGTGAAAGGGGCAGGGGGGGAGGGGTAATGGAGGGAGATAGGCAGGGTCAACAACCAGCAGAACATCCATCCCTCTTCAACAGGACAGACTCTTGGAGGGCCAGAGCAATCCAGTGTCATCCAGCTAAGTAACCAGAAGAGTGTTGTGGACTTGGGAGGCCTGTTATTGCTCATGAGGACAAACAGTATGACACGTCATAAATTCCTAAAGAGAACAGTTAAAACCACTATTTGAGGCTGAAAGGCTGAAAAACATTATCTAATGGTCGATCATTTTCTGCCTCTCCCTTATCTTACCCTTAAGCAGTGAGAACATGATTTCTATAAACCAATGTTAATCTTTCTTGTCCTCACTTCTTGCTGAACTATCATCACTTCATGTTAATACAGTGGATTGAGGAGAATGAGGGTGCTTTCTTTAACACCAGTCTGAGGAGCAGGAAAGGACAAGAAGGGGCTGAGTGACTCAGTATTTGGCTTCATGACCTCCTACTCCTCTCCTACCCTCAACCTCGCTGGCTGCATAACAGGCTTTACACTAAGTGGGCGACTGAACCACTTTACTCTCCTCCTGCGTCTATCTCCCAGCAGCAGATAGGGAGAGAGAAAGACAGGCGTTTCAGGCGAGAAGGAGAATCCCCCAAATGACTGCTAATCTAATGGAGCAATTAGCTGTCTAATCTGAAGCCAGTGATCCGAGAAGCCCAGAGACGAAGAGAGCTGTCGGGGGGAAAACAGATGTACTCGTCTCTAGATAGCAGCATGTTTTCAGGTGATGAGTACTAATGGATGAGTCCATTATCAAAGCATGTATTCCTAGTAGTGAAGGTAGCTAAGTCTCCCAATGACAAGATACAGTGGCTTGCGAAAGTATTCACCCCCCTTGGCATTTTTCCTATTTTGTTGCCTTACAACCTGGAATTAAAATGGATTTTTGGGGGGTTTGAATCATTTGATTTACACAACATGCCTACCACTTTGAAGATGCAAAATATTTTGAATTGTGAAACAAACAAGAAATAAGACAAAAAAACAGAAAACTTGAGCATGCATAACTATTCACCCCCCCAAAGTCAATACTTTGTAGAGCCACCTTTTGCAGCAATTACAGCTGCAAGTCTCTTGGGGTATGTCTCTATAAGCCTGGCACATCTAGCCACTGGGATTTTTGCCCATTCTTCAAGGCAAAACTGCTCCAGCTCCTTCAAATTGGATGGGTTCCGCTGGTGTACAGCAATCTTTAAGTCATACCACAGATTCTCATTTGGATTGAGGTCTGGGCTTTGACTCTGCCATTCCAAGACATTTAAATGTTTCCCCTTAAACCACTCGAGTGTTGCTTTAGCAATATGCTTAGGGTCATTGTCCTGCTGGAAGGTGAACCTCCGTCCCAGTCTCAAATCTCTGGAAGACTGAAACAGGTTTCCCTCAAGAATTTCCCTGTATTTTGTGCATCCATCATGTTTGGGGAGTCTCCCACATGCCTTTTGGCGAACACCAAACTTATTTTTTTCTTTAAGCAATGGTTTTTTTCTGGCCACTCTTCCGTAAAGCCCAGCTCTGTGGAGTGTACAGCTTAAAGTGGTCCTATGGACAGATACTCCAATCCCCGCTGTGGAGCTTTGCAGCTTCTTCAGGGTTATCTTTGGTCTCTTTGTTGCCTCTCTGATTAATGCCCTCCTTGCCTGGTCTGTGAGTTTTGGTGGGTGGCCCTCTCTTGGCAGGTTTGTTGTGGTGCCATATTCTTTACATTTTTAATAATGGATTTAACGGTGCTCCGTGGGATGTTCAAAGTTGTTGATCTTTTTTTATAACCCAACCCTGATCTGTACTTCTCCACAACTTTGTCCCTGACCTGTTTGGAGAGCTCCTTGGTCTTCGTGGTGCCGCTTGCTTGGTGGTACCCCTTGCTTAGTGGTGTTGCAGACTCTGGGGCCTTTCAGAACAGGTGTATATATACTGAGATCATGTGACAGATCATGTGACACTTAGATTGCACACAGGTGGACTTTATTTAACTAATTATGTCTTGGTTGCACCAGATCTTATTTAGGGGCTTCATAGCAAAGGGGGTGAATACATATGCATGAACCACGTTATTTATTTTTTATAATTTTTTGAAACAAGTTATTTTTTTCATTTCACTTCACCAATTTGGACTATTTTGTGTATGTCCATTACATTAAATCCAAATAAAAATCCATTTAAATTACAGGTTGTAATGCAACAAAATAGGAAAAACGCCAAGGGGGATGAATACTTTTGCAAGGCACTGTATCAGTGGTAGACGTCAAGACGTGGCTATCTTATTTGAATGCCATTGAAATGAAAGAGGAGTTTCCTTTGGATGGTGAAAGTATTTCACTGTGTTAATTGGAAGCAGACCTGCAGTCAGCCAGTCAGTCAGAGAGTTGTTCTTGGGCACCGCCTCTCTCTCTCTTTGCTCCATTCCTAACTCTAACTGGCTGGGACTCAAGTGGGGAGATCACATAATAAAAACGACTAATAAAAGGCTCTGCTCAGAGATTGGCAACCAGAAATGAATGTGTGTGCTGTGTACTCAATATAATATAACAACGGGTCTGGGAACTACACACAACATACAGTATGTGATATAGCATTATGAGGAGAATAAAGAAACATACAGTTTGAGTACCTTGAAATAAATAAAGCATCTGTTTAAAACACACATGTAAAAGTTGTTGAATGAAAAATGAGACAATGGAATGAACTATGATATCAAAAGAATCGAAGACAACCCTGCACTTTCATTTCAGGTCTTTTGTTTGTGCATAGGCACATCATAGACATAGAAACACAACCTCAAGCTGTTTGCAATGAGAAGCGTCTATCAAGTGAAACACCTGTTTCATGGAGCACCTAAAAACGTTTCTCCAACACTACTCCAACACCAGGGGTGCTTGGGAGAGCTCCTCCTTACCTTGGAGCACTTACAGCTGAGCTGAGGGGAAGATTTCCCCAGAATTGGAGAACGTACTGTACCAGAAGTTGGGATTAGTGTGTTAATGTTATTCAAATCAGAGGCATGGAATATGGCAGCCAGTGCCATGTTTCGAGGGAAGGTTTCCCATGCCGACACAGGGGATAGAAATGCAGAGGCCTCATCCCTGATGATTTGGCAGTTTCACTATTGGGCTTTATTGTTACCTGCTGTGGGCATGGACAGAAACCTTTCTCACCTCTTCAAAGGAGGTATTTTATCATTATTGCTTACTTCCTACGCCATATCCTTGCTCATGTTTCTCTAGTTCTGAAGTATATTGACTAGACTTACTATTGACTATGGATCAACTACCGGTTTTACTATAAGGGCTTAAACAGAAATAAAAAGGCTCCTTTGCATCAGTAGGGACTTTGATACATATAGGCAGCAGTACAGTAAATCAAAGACCATACATGAATAATGGGTAGGACAATAAGAGCAGTGAAACTGGTTGGAGGACCGTGGCATTATGGCAGTGATTTATAACGATGGGGCACAGTAAGCGGTTAATGTCAAGTTATTTTAGGCCTGGCTTGACGCAGCACTGCAGAAATCCCATAGGGTTTACTGTAGTATAGGCAAGCTGCGTTGGTTAACACTGCAGTTGTTTAAAGTTGGACTTTCACTACAATACCTCCATATGGGCATTTACGATATTTGCTATAGCCGGGTCCATGTTCATTCGCTGCTGTACATGGGGAGAAAGAGACACAAACATAGGTGAAAATGAAATGAAATGAAAGAAAATAAAAAGGGGGTTCAGTGCTTCAAGTCAACATGGAGATGTGTGGGTGAATGTTGTACATTGTGATAATCATAATACAGTCTAGCAATGTACCTCTCCAGAACTGAAAAACAGGCAGGGTCCTGACAGAACAGAAAACAAAATGTTCTAAGAAAATATGTTTAAAAAAATGACAGATGGAAATAAGAGCACTCTCTATTCTGTCAGAAGACAGCTCGTGGTATAACTTCTATTTACCAACCCATTGTATTTTGACAAGTTAAGATGACTGCAACCACATTTCCTGTGGGGTTGATACAGCAAAAGAGAAACCAGAGAGGAGATGGTAAATAAACGCAGACTGGTACCATTCACACTCCGAGAGAAAGGCGTCAGACAGAGAGAGTCAAGAACAGGCTCCCCACACACAGTTACACACCACACACGCACACTTAAACACGCGCAGACTCAAATAAACACACACACACACGTACACACACACACCCAGCATAAACACAGCTGTGCTGACTGAGAGTAAGGTAAGTTCAACCTTATATTTATTTGCTATGGGAACACACTGGAGTTGGTTTTAAGTGGGTGAACAGCCATAGTCGAATAAAGTTAAAAGAATTACCAGGTTAGACAGTAAGCAATCTAGCGTTATTGGAAGCATGATGAAAGTAGGCTTGCTACAGAGAACACTATGCCAAGGCAAGAAATGAAAGAAGTCATGCAGTTCACAAACATGGAACCAATCTTCTGTCTGTCTGATCTGCTACCTAATTAGTTGGAAAGAGTGACACTGTCCTAATGTCCTTTCCCAAGTCTATCCAAAGTGTCAGAACTACGATATCTAAAATTCCCACTTTCCTCACATCATTGACTTGGAACCGAACTGAACACACAAACAGCTAGTCAACTAGCGCTGTGACTTAGCCTACACTTGGGCTTCAGAAGCCATAGAGAGTGATTGGAATGGAATATGAGATCCAGGAATCCGTCATTTTCCACAGTTCAATGACAGTACACAAGTAAGGGATAGTCTTGATGTCTTTACCTAGCACTGTACTTCTGACTCCTGGCCCCTCAGAGGTTTAACTGTGTTACTGGTTGACATGGGAACGCAGGCTTGGCCCTTGGCTATGAAAATACTCTGCAATCAGACACTTATTCACTTAGGGAAGGCATGCGTCCTCCTGAAGATGACTATTGTTTTGCCTGAAAGGGTAGAAAACCACTCAGTAAATAAATGAAAAAGAGACTGTGCATCTCTTTGTTAGATTCAAATTCAGTAAGCTGAAAATCTATGATCAAATGCTTTATAGATTTTAAAGAATTGATACACTCAGTGGACCTTTCAGTGATAGCGTTTATTGGGACAGATTTTCTCATGTGTGCCTAAACAAATGTCCTCATAGCCAGACCAGTCGAGAGCTGTACCTCACTATACCACTTCATTACATTGGGACAACAGGTGCAAGCCATCCAGAATGAGGGAATCTGCTAGGCACACAATATAACATCATAATTTCTGTAATAGGCCTAGCCTGGTACTAGTATTTTCCTCAGGATATGAGCATGGTGCAGGAGTCCTGGCCTGCTGTAGTGGAGGTCTGTGCGGCCTGGCCCAGCAGAAAGAGAGGCTTCTCTGGGGAGACAGAGGTGTTGGCTGAGTGTCAGTGAAAGCTCCCACCTGTTAACACTAACAGCAGCCCTTCTGCCAGGCCAGGCCTCTAATACAGCCCAGAGACTAGAGGATAGAACAGCTCTATAGCAGATATAACACATCTATACTGGAGATATGTGGTTAAAAAGCTCCAAGTCATTTGCTGAATAACTCTTATAAAGCCTTTATTATATTTTTTTCACAAAAGGTTAGAAACAACAGCCTTCATCAGGGTGAGGTAGCCTACTGTAGCGAAAGCTGTCCATAAACTAACCAGTATTCTATCTCTCCATTAGTTTGCGGACTTTTCTATTATTGTCCCTTCTGGGCATCCTTACTGAGGTCATTATCCTTCCCATCTGTCAGGTAAGTCTGTGTTTTTAAGAAGCCTGCTTCTCTTTCGGCTCTCTCTCCCATTGCTCAGATCTAAGCATACACAGATGGTCACCCTCCTTGTACTCATGTGCTACTGTGCTATGAAGGGGGAAGGTGTGCCATAAACTTGTTCAGAGTGATAAAAATACTTCCTGTGGCAAACCTTCCCAGTCCCCATACATGTGTCCTTGTCCCTAGCCAACTGTTGCCAGGCCTCTGTGACTCTTAGTTGTTCCCAGAGATATGGCATGTTTACTACTTAGCTACGAGTGGTACTAAAAGGTTATACTTTCTGTGAGGGACTTGAAAGTACCAAGCAGTCCTTGGCCCTCAACTTTAACCTGTTTCAAACCCATTTCACTCTTCCCTAAATGCTTGACACAAGCCATCTTATTAAATTGGTGATTTGTAACATAAACATGGTCAAGAGTGATGTTATGGTAATTTGTCCACTTAATCAGGAATCCTATGAACATTAACAGGCTGTGAAAAGTATCCTCAGGCCTGTCCACTGCAGTGCCGTATGTAGGATCCTAAGCGGTGCTGCTCTACTGAAACAGAAACAGGGTTGTCTGCCAAACCTGCACTACATGCACTCAGCACCATTAATCCCACAGGCACTCTCAGGCCAACATGCAGCACAGTGGGAGAGGGAAGAAAACCACAGCAAGTACATGCAGATACACATACACGCAAACACACACACGCACCTATCTCCTCTAAAAGGATTACAACGCTTGTTAAGCATCTTGTCAACACATCACTACAACCTTTCTCCAAAGCACATTAAAAACACAGCAGGCCTACAGCAAGTCAGCTGTATAATGTAAAGGTTTATATACCTGTTATAACCAGTGTTCCTATGTTTTAAATTAGTCTCTATGGAGACTGATGGCCTATCTTGCTATCTTGTAACACAGCGGTTCCCAAAATTAGGGTCACGCTGATATGAAAATGGGGTTGCGGGAGAATTTCCAACCCCCTCCCCCCCAAAAAATAAAGAATATATATATATATATATAGTCTTTGTACCTCAAAATCATTGTAATGTGGTTAACCTTAAAAATCTAAATGAAAATTATTCAAATCTAAAAGATCAAATTCAACCAGAGAGCACCTTAGATCATGGGAAAAGGCAGCACTTGACCACTGCACTTGAATCAGTCCAATGGTGAATGGCTAGGCCCACTATGATATGAAACCACACACTATTGCAGAGACAATTTATATGGTAAAAACAATGTGGGGGGAGGCAAAGGCACAGAAACTCACATCAATACCTTTGTCAGATAACACTGATAAACAAATAATTTATGCTATTGCTAGCAATCAAGAGGAAACACTGAACGACTCAAAAACTCTCCAGCTTATGCTCTCCAAATGGACGTTAGCTGTCAGGGCCGAGATGGCCATGCATTTACTTTTGTTCGCTATACATGTCAGGGGATGCTATTCACAAGGACATACTGTTCTGTCTCACCCTTCCCAAGTATGAAACAGCACAGGGGATGTTCAGTGTGTTGCATAGCTATATTGACGAGAAACAGATTCCATGGGATCGAATGGTGGGATTTTGCACAGATGGGGATCCATCAATGGCGGGATGGCGGGCAGGCCTCTGCACTCTAGTTATGAATGTGGCTCCCTCTGCCATATGGACGCAATGTATGATCCACCGAGAGCAACTGGCAGCAAAAGAGCTGAGCACAGAACTCGGAGATATACTGCAATGGGTAACTTAAATTGTAAACTACATCAAACCACATCCACTGTACGCACGACTGTTGCAAAACTATGTGGCGGTACGGGATCAGAGCATGAAAATGTTCTATTTAACACCAAGGCTTGGTAGTTATTGAGGGGGAGTGTTGGAAAGATTGTTCGCATTGACAGAGGAACTGTTGTCATTCACAATGGATGTAAAAAAAAATACAGACTTGGTTGACTTTCTGTATAATGAAAAGAAAATGTGTCTCCTTACCTTGCCTTGCAAAAGTATTCATCCCCCTTGGCGTTTTTCCTATTTTGTTGCATTACAACATGTCATTTAAATGGATTTTTATTTGGATTTTATGTAATGGACATCCACAAAATAGTCAAAATTGGTGAAGTGAAATTTAAAAAATGACTTGTTTCAAAAAACTATAAAAAATAAATAACGGAAAAGTGGTGCGTGCATATGTATTCACCCCCTTTGCTATGAAGCCCCTAAAAAAGATCTGGTGCAACCAATTACCTTCAGAAGTCACATAATTAGTTAAATAAAGTCCACCTTTGTACAATCTAAGTGTCACATGATCTGTCACATGATCTCAGCATATATACACCTGTTCTGAAAGGCCCCAGAGTCTGCAACACCACTAAGCAAGGGGTACCACCAAGCAAGCGGCACCATGAAGACCAAGGAGCTCTCCAAACAGGTCAGGGACAAAGTTGTGGAGAAGTAGGCCCTCCTGTAGCTCAGTTGGTAGAGCATGGCGCTTGCAACGCCAGGGTTGGGGGTTCGATTCCCACGGGGGGCCAGTATGAGAAATTTATGCACTCACTAACTGTAAGTCGCTCTGGATAAGAGTGTCTACTAAATGACTAAAATTTAAATGTAAGTACAGATCAGGGTTGGGTTATAAAAAAATATCAGAAACTTTGAACATCCCACGGAGCACCATTAAATCCATTATTAAAAAATGGAAAGAATATGGCACCACAACAAACCTGCCAAGAGAGGGCCGCTGAACAAAACTAACAGACTAGGCAAGGAGGGCATTAATCAGAGAGGCAACAAAGAGACCAAAGATAACCTGAAGGAGCTGCAAAGCTCCTCAGCGGAGATTGGAGTATCTGTCCATAGGACCACTTTAAGCCATACACTCCATAGAGCTGGGCTTTATGGAAGAGTGGCCAGAAAAAAGCCATTGCTTAAAGAAAAAAATAAGCAAACACGTTTGGTGTTCGCCAAAAGGCATGTGTGAGACTCCCCAAACATATGGAAGAAGGTACTCTGGTCAGATGAGACAAAAATGTAGCTTTTTGGCCATCAAGGAAAACACTGTCTCGCGCAAACCCAACACCTCTCATCACCCCGAGAACACCATTTTTCATCGGCAGGGACTGGGAAACTGGTCAGAATTGAAGGAATGATGGATGGCGCTAAATACAGGGAAATTCTTGAGGGAAACCTGTTTCAGTCTTCTAGAGATTTGAGACTGGGACGGAGGTTCACCTTCCAGCTGGACAATGACCCTAAGCATACTGCTAAAGCAACACTTGAGTGGTTTAAGGGGAAACATTGAAATGTCTTGGAATGGCCTAGTCAAAGCCCAGACCTCAATCCAATTGAGAATATGTGGTATGACTTAAAGATTGCTGTACACCAGCGGAACCCATCCAACTTGAAGGAGCTGGAGCAGTTTTGCCTTGAAGAATGGGCAAAGATCCCAGTGGCTAGATGTGCCAAGCTTATAGAGACATACCCCAAGAGACTTGCAGCTGTAATTGCTGCAAAAGGGGGCTCTACAAAGTATTGTTATTTCTTGTTTGTTTCACAGAGAAAAATATTTTGCTTCTTCTAAATGGTAGGCATGTTGTGTAAATCAAATGATACAAACCCCCATAAAATCAATTTTAATTCCAGGTTGTAAGGCAACAAAATAGGAAAAATGCCAAGGGGGGTGAATATTTTCGCAAGCCACTGTAATATACATATTTGGGAAACTGAATGAACTGAGCGCAAGCATGCAGGGGAAATACAAAAACATTCTATAGATGAGTGACTGAATCAGTGGATTCTTTCTAAAGCGTCTTTCTAAAGCTAACCATGCCCCCTTCCCTCGGCTGTGCATGTTTCTAACAGAAAACAGCATCAGTAAGTGTCCCACACGAGTGATGACTGCTCACCTCCAATACTTGGAAGAGCACTTTGGGACCTACTTCCCAATCTGTTTGACTGTGATCCTGGCTCAGCTGACATGCCGGTAAGTGAAATCGAACAGCTGATCGAGCTGTCATGTTACCAAATGCTCCAGACAAGCATTCACAGGTCACTAAGGAGGAGTTTTGGTTCCTAATTCAAAGGGAATAAATACCCTGCCATCTCACTCTGAGCATTAATGCCACGTTCAAAACAACAGAGAACTCGGAAATCTCAGACTTCCAACTTCAGTGCGTTCAAGACAACTGGGAACTCCGACTGGGAAAAATCGTTTTGAAAGGTCATCCATTCGGAATTCCAACTCGGGAACTCGGGCCTCTGTCTAGAGCTCCGACTTTCCGACCTGAAGATCACTGACGTCATGATTTGACCTCGTTCCCAGTTGTCTTGAAAGCATCATAAAGCTCATGATGCTGAATTCAGTGCTCTCATCTGCATTAAAACCAAATATCGATCCAGGTTGGATGTGACCACAGAGATGACGTGCGCACTGTCGACCACACCCCCTGACTTTGAGAATCTCCGACGCGACATGCATCAACCACACTCATTAGTGGTGGTGAGATAAGAGACATTATGTCAAACTAATTTGCTATTGACTGCCATAGCCCCACATTAAATGTATATGATGGTGAGTTGAGAAGACAATCAGAATTACTGTTAGAATGTTTTTCAATTGACTGCCATTGCCCCAAATAAAAAAGTAAACATTGGCTGTTAATTACATATTTATTTTCACGTTGGGGTCACAAACATTTTCAGATATCAAAATGGGGTCGTGGGCCAAAAACACAAGACAGACAGGAAGAGGCTAATGAGAGCCCAGGGCTAACTCTAATGACTGACTGCTCCTAATTGGAACAGGGGCAGGAGGACTACAACCTCTACTGATGCTATGGACGGAACATATAGACATGTTCCATCCATTGAACATGTGGAGACTTCATCTCTGGCTTAACAACACCAGTGCCAATATATCCTATAAACCCTGGCTTCTCAGGCATTACCACTTAATTATCAGGGAGCCACACTGATATATAAATTGTATCGGGTGGAGAGCTTCTGATGTACGCATGTGTATGTCTAAACGGGATCAGGGAAAAAAGCTGTGCTTGGAAGTAATCCAACTCTCTGAGATACCGAGGGAACCCAAAATGAGTCCAAGAGTACATTTTATGGATACCCCCTTCCTGTTATGAATGCTTAAAGGGATACTGCGAGATATCGGTTGTTTTTCTACTTACCCAGTGTCAGACAAACTCATGGATACCATTTTTATGTCTCTGCGAGTAGTTTGGAGATTATTGAAGTTAGCATATCATTAGCTTAGCCTAGACGTTGTATCTGTCCCGTTATGGCGTCTGTGAGCGCACGGGCAGCGCCATTGAGACAGATACAATCTCTATACATCTCTATGTGACAATGGGACAGAATGAGGAAGTGGATAGAATCTTGTTTCTTATGATTATCAGTCAAATTAACTAATTTATAAAAATATTGATTCATATGTATAGCTTTGTAAGACTATAAATGACCAACCACCCAGCTTTGGAGTTTATTTCCCTGCTTTTGAGAGGAGCTGGATACTGTACGGGGAGACTTCCAACAGTTGCGCTAACTTCAATCATCTTCACACTGAACGTAGTGACATAGAAATCGTTTCCATGAGTTCGTCTGACTCTGGGTAAGTAGAAGAACGACCTAAATCTAGGAATCTCACAGTATCCCTTTACACAAGTGCATCACCAATAACAACAGAGCCAAATTATAGTGGAGAACACAACAGTAACCTGCAATCACAGGCTTTTGATGATGCCAAGTTAGAGTCCCTATACTTTAACTCTTGAATCTAGATACACAACCAGCATTGTGCATGGTGCAAGTTCATGTATGCACAATGTTGTGCCTGATCTAATAGACAACTCTGTGACAGCAAATGAGAAACTACTTCACTATACAACGCTAAGACCCTCAGCACATTACAGTCATTCAAGCATTTCCAGCAGTACCAAACCAGCAACTTATTTTTCACTAGCAACTGCTAAGCTCTTCATTTGAATACACATGCACATTCAATGACAACATAGGCATGCTCTGCATAAACTGCTGCATACAATTTTGCTCCATAAGCTCTTTGAGTTTGGTTGTGGCAAAAATGATGGTACACAGTTTACTGGACATTTGTACTTATGTGTGGACATTGGAGTTTCTCTGTATGTAGGGGATCTGGTTCTGACTACTCCATGTTCCCTGTTTAGTTCTAAAGCTGGGTTTCCTCTCTGCTCCCCTGAATGAGCCCTAATCCTTCTACCCCGTTAGCTCTCACCCTACATAGCACCACACACACACACACACACACACCGGCAGCCCAAAGGAAAGTGCTGACGGCCGCAGTGCGCCATGCAGGGTGATTACCGTGGACTATAGGGTGACTGATGGACTTGCTGAATGTGGAATGAAGTAACTAACCGTGCGCAAAAAAATTGGAGGACACGGACCCCCGCAGAGATTGGCTGGCTGATCTCAAGGGGAGATGACAACCTGTTTGAGCCTGATGTAAACACAGAGGCACACATCTATCTGCCACACCCCACATCCCATAGACATGGCTACAGCAGAGTATACAGTCGTGAGGTAAGGTTTCATGGGTCTCAGACAGTAGGGAAAATAAAATCAGAGAACAGTTCATAGAGAAGAAGAGCACAGCACAGCGGGATAAAGTGGAGGTTTACTGCTAGAGGTGTAGCAGTAAGGTGAGATGAGAGCTAAGGTACAGTAGAGCAGAGTTCAGTAGAATATAGTGGATTCCTCAGCAGTCAGGCATCAGCTGGAGGTAACCCTGACCCTGTGAGGAGAAATGAGACCAGGGCGGTTCACAGGAAGACAGAGTTACTCTCTCTTATCTCTCCCTGACATGGAACAAGGAGGGCCTTTTTTCTGGAGTATCAGTGAGCCATGTGTACCAAAACATAGTTTTGTGTAGCTCAGTTGGTAGAGCATGGCGCTTGCAACGCCAGGGTTGTGGGTTTGATTCCCACGGGGGGCCAGTATGAAAATGTATGCACTCACTAACTGTAAGTCGCTCTGGATAAGAGCGTCTACTAAACTGTAAATGTAAATGTTGAATCACCTCTTGAGGATTCTAAGAATGTCCATTTGCATCCCTCACGTGGAATTCTATCATCAGTGAGAAGAGTGAGGGAAACATTGGCACACACTGTAGCTATCTCAGTTCATAAAATGTTGACAATCCACTCTATCCAGGTACTTCCAGAGAGTGTTTGAGTCTATAGGGCCACTCCATTGGTTGTATACAGTGCCCTCTGTAATTATTGAGACAGTGAAGCATTTTTTTCTTCTTTTGGCTCTATACTCCAAATGTTTGTATTTGAACTCAAACAATGACTATGACGTTAAAGTTGTAATATATGTTTCGAAACACTTCTACATGACTGTGGATGCTATTCTGATTACGAATGATCTGTAATCATGGTAGCATCCACATTAGTGTAGAAGTGTTTAGAAACATATTATATTCCTATTTACCATTCATTTCTATTGAGCATAATCTGAAACACAACCAAAACAAACAGCAAATGCATCCAACAAATTTGTAGAGTCACAAGCTTGATATAGTCATTGTGTGCTATGAATATGGGATCAAATACTTCACTTTTTACTACTTTAATACACATACTGTATAAGTGAATTTGTCCCAATACTTTTTCTCCCCTAAAATGAAGGGACTATGTACAAAAATACCCTCATATTATAGCTGATAGTCTGTACTTTGACCTCATAGTCATTGTTTGATTTCAAACTTTTGAAGTATATAGCCAAAAGAAGAAAAAATGCTTCACTGTCCCAGTAATTACAGAGGGCACTGCATATGCTATTATTAGTGACTGGTCAGCCTATGGCAGCCTGCTAGGATAATAGTGATAAGCACCATATCTGTCCACTGCAGAGTCCTGATGTCCTTGTTGATAAGAAGGCTGGAACACTGTGTCATCATGGTGACATTGATCACTACTCCACTCTGCCACCACAGAGCCATTCAGAATAGAAGAGGACATAACTGCAGGTATATGTACATACCGTACTTTGCAGCATTGGAACCACTATGAGAGTCATCAGTGAAATAAAACCCATTAGGATTAACCAGAGTGTACTCAGAGGCTGACATACAATGGTCTTTACTGTTCAATGGAATTCATGTGGAAAGAGCTGGTGGGCCATGTTACACTTAAGGGATAATGCCAGAGAAGCTGGTGTTTGGAGGATATATTGGCACGGTGTTGGAAAACCGTGCCAATATATCCTCCAAACACCGGCTTCTCTGGCATTATCACTTCTATACAACTTGTTACCAACATATTCAAATAATGATTAACATATTTTCATTAAAAACTTTATTTTGATTAATTTATTCATACTATTTCATCCTGCCACAAGATATAGTCCCGACACAAATCTAGGGTTTCCACCCAAGCCGGCTGGTCGTTCATTCTATCGGTTCGGTTGCCAGAGACGCGACCCAGTCGTTCAGTCTTTTTGTTCTGTATCTATGGACGGGACCCAGTCATTCGTTCTAAATGTTCCATTGCCATACTGGCTGGCAACGTTCTTATCCCTTGCTTGCTAGCTAGCCAACTACGGCTAATTTACAGTCACGTCAAACAGTGCATCCAGAATAACAACGAAGTAGCTGCATTTGTTTAAGCTGTTTTCTAGTGACATTTATTTGGATACATACATAACAATGAGCTAATGATGCATGATTTCACCTGGCATAGAAAATGTGCTCTCTCATCAGGACACTGTTGTTCAGAGGAGCCAGCCAACAACACAGCTAACACAATCACTTCAAACTGAAGCTGGAAAGACTTCAAACTAGCTGCACTTTGTTTCGTTTCACCTGTTTTCTATTGATAGTGCTTTGTATATATCCATAAAAATGATGCTGATTCATGATTTCGACTGCTAAGAAAAGCTGCCTACCTGTCTGTCTCATCCCACCTCCCAACACGTTCATTCCTATAGGACAGCTGGAGATCGAATTAGAATATTGAAACAATGTCGCAAATGTCAGAGAAACAGACTGCAAGGTTTATACAAATCTCCGCTTTTGAAAACTAAATGTTAGTCTAAAAGAAATGTGAGATAATGCCTAGATGTTTTTTATAGTGGAGATCAAGTTTATAAATTGCCTGGCTGGGCTGATGAGACAGTGGATTGCGCAGTCAGATGGAACAGAGTAAATAGGCATTTTAACGTCATAGATTTAGCCGGTGGTAACTTGTGGAATAGACACCGGCTGCCCTGCCTCAGCTACATGTTTCCTTGACTTCCTATATGTGGTTTTAAAGGTCTGTCACGAGAAGCAGGATTTCTGAAGCTTGCTTGCTATTTCCACCACAAACATAGGAACCCTATGGGAATGAAGGTTCAAACATGTCCTGGAAAATGCTAATACAGTAATTACAGAAGTGGTGTAAGAAGTGTGGAAACCAGGATGTTTTGATACAGAACTGGTTTTGCAAATCCCTCAGTGGGTTCAACAGCACAGTCCTGGTTTTACATCACAACATTATCATGCAAATATTTTCCAGTTAGGAAATTGGTTGTAATAAAGCTAAGAAAACAGAGCTAAAGCTGCCTTACTACAGTATGTCCGCCAGCAGTACCAGATGTTGTGTTTTTCAAGGACATACTTTCTTTGCTACAGACTGTTTTGCACTATCACAATGTAGGGAATAGATTAGCAAACAGCACTGCTAACGTTAGAATAGAGCACTACATTCTCCCAAGTCTTGTTTTTGTAAACATTTGCATTATGACTATTTCTGTGGTAGTAAATATAGGGTTTTCAGTCAGATTTCTTTCTTCTCGCTATGTTGTGCAATAAAACACTGCTGTGCTTGTGTCAGTGAATGGTTTTATCTCTAACTCCTGGTCTGAGTGAGTGTGTGAAAGAGGGGTGTAGGGGTTGGGAGAGAGGTGGAGGGGTGGAGGGGTTGGGAGAGAAGTGGAGGGGTGGAGAGAGGGGTGGTGTGGTTGAGGGAGGGGTGGAGGGGTTGAGAGAAGGGTAGAGGGGTTGAGACAAGGGTTGAGGGGTTGAGAGAGGGGTAGAGGGGTTGAGACAGGTGTGGAAGGGTTGAGAGAGGGCTAGAGGGGTTGAGACAGGGGTGGAAGGGTTGAGAAAGGGGTAGAGGGGTAGAGAGAGGGGTGGGAGGGTTGAGAAAGGGGTAGAGGGGTAGGGAGAGGGGTGGGAGGGTTGAGAGAGGGGTAGAGGGGTTGAGGGGTTGAGAGAGGGTTGGAGAGGTAGAGAGCCGTACCTCTGCTGATCCTCTGCTTCTCTCCAGATAGGATACCAGGAGTATCTATCACACTGATGCTCTCCAGAACAGGGTTTGGCAGCTGGGCACACACAAACCTACAGGACACACAGACATGGCCATAGACATGGTCAGATAAATAGCCCAACACTGAATAATTACAGAGCTTACATGATCAAATCTGACAGAGAAAAAGAGTTGGACGGACATGAGACAAACAGACAGACCGACGGACAACAGATACAGTGAGGGAAAAAAGTATTTGATCCCCTGCTGATTTTGTACGTTTGCCCACTGACAAAGACATGATCAGTCTATAATTTTAATGGGAGGTTTATTTGAACAGTGAGACAGAATAACAAAAAAAAAATCCAGAAAAACACATGTCAAAAATGTTATAAATTGATTTGCATTTTAATGAGGGAAATAAGTATTTGACCCCTCTGCAAAACATGACTTAGTACTTGGTGGCAAAACCCTTGTTGGCAATCACAGAGGTCAGACGTTTCTTGAAGTTGGCCACCAGGTTTGCACACATCTCAGGAGGGATTTTGTCCCACTCCTCTTTGTAGATCTTCTCCAAGGCTGACGTTTGGCAACTCGAACATTCAGCTCCCTCCACAGATTTTCTATGGGATTAAGGTCTGGAGACTGGCTAGGCCACTCCAGGACCTTAATGTGCATCTTCTTGAGACACTCTTTTGTTGCATTGGCCGTGTGTTTTGGGTCATTGTCATGCTGGAATACCCATCCACGACCCATTTTCAATGCCCTGGCTGAGGGAAGGAGGTTCTCACCCAAGATTTGACGGTACTTGGCCCCGTCCATCATCCCTTTGATGCGGTGAAGTTGTTCTATCCCCTTAGCAGAAAAACACCCCCAAAGCATAATGTTTCCACATCCATGTTTGACGGTGGGGATGGTGTTCTTGGGGTCATAGGCAGCATTCCTCCTCCTCCAAACACGGCGAGTTGAGTTGATGCCAAAGAGCTCCATTTTGGTTTCATCTGACCACAACACTTTCACCCAGTTCTCCTCTGAATCATTCAGATGTTCATTGGCAAACTTCAGACGGGCATGTATATGTGCTTTCTTGAGCAGGGGGACCTTGCGGGCGCTGCAGGATTTCAGTCCTTCACGGCGTAGTGTGTTACCAATTGTTTTCTTGGTGACTATGGTCCCAGCTGCCTTGACATCATTGACAAGATCCTCCGGTGTAGTTCTGGGCTGATTCCTCACCGTTCTCATGATCATTGCAACTCCACGAGGTGAGATATTGCATGGAGCCCCAGGCCGAGGGAGATTGACAGTTCTTTTGTGTTTCTTCCATTTGCGAATAATCGCACCAATTTCATCACCAAGCTGCTTGGCGATGGTCTTGTAGCCCATTCCAGCCTTGTGTAGGTCTACAATCTTGTCCCTGACATCCTTGGAGAACTCTTTGGTATTGGACATGGTGGAGAGTTTGGAATCTGATTGATTGATTGCTACTGTGGACAGGTGTCTTTTATACAGGTAACAAGCTGAGATTAGGAGCACTCCCTTTATGAGTGTGCTCCTAATCTCAGCTCGTTACCTGTATAAAAGACATCTGGGAGCCAGAAATCTTTCTGATTGAGAGGGGGTCAAATACTTATTTCCCTCATTTCCCTCATTGGGGCGGCAGGTAGCTTAGTGGTTAAGAGCGTAGTGCCAGTAACCGAAAGGTCGCTGGTTCTAATCCCCGAGCCGACTAGGTGAAAAATCTGTCGATGTGCCCTTGAGCAAGGCACTTAACCCTAATTGCTCCTGTAAGTCGCTCTGGATAAGAGCGTCTGCTAAATAACTAAAATGTAAATATGTAAATGTAAAATGCAAATCAATTTATAACATTTTTGACATGTGTTTTTCTGGATTTTTTTGTTGTTATTCTGTCTCTCACTGTTCAAATAAACCTACCATTAAAATGATAGACTGATCATGTCTTTGTCAGTGGGCAAACGCACAAAATCAGCAGGTGATCAAATACTTTTTTCCCTCACTGTAGTTGAGCTACACTCTGCTCTTTGATTATTCTGTTCGCTTGGGGAACATGCATTACAACACTTGACTATCTGTTTCAAACTGCTCTCTGAGCCGAGCCAACTTTCTCTAGACTTCCTGTGGTTTTATCTGCAGATTTGCACAACAAACACCGGCCATACGCCAAGAACCCTAAGAACCCTAAAGCACCCTAAGAACTCTTAAGAACCCTTATTCCACACATACACTACCAGTCAAAAGTTTGGACACACCTACTCATTCAAGGGTTTTTCTTTATTTTTACTATTTTTTACATTGTAGAATAATAGTGAAGACATCAAAACTATGAAATAACAACATATGGAATCATGTAGTAACCAAAAAAGTGTTAAACAAATCAAAATATATTATATATTTCAGATTCTTCAAATAGCCACCCTTTGCCTTGATGACAGCTTTGCACACTCTTGGCATTCTCTCAACCAGCTTCATGAGATAGTCACCTGGAATGCATTTCAATTAATAGGTGTGCCTTCTTAAAAGTTAATTTGTGGAATTTCTTTCCTTCTTAATGCGTTTGAGCCAACCAGTTGTGTTGTGACAAGGTAGGGGGGGGGGGGGGGGGGGTATCCAGAAGATAACCCTATTTGGTAAAAGACCAAGTCCATATTATGGCAAGCACAGCTCAAATAAGCAAAGAGAAACAACAGTCCATCATTACTTTAAGACATGAAGGTCAGTCAATATGGAACATTTCAAGAACTTTGAAAGTTTCTTGTGCAGTCACAAAAACCATCAAGCGCTATGATGAAACTGGCTCTCATAAGGACCGCCACAGGAATGGAAGACCCAGAGTTACCTCTGCTGTAAAGGATAAGTTCATTAGAGTTACCAGCCTCAGAAATTGCAGCCCAAATAAATGCTTCACAGAGTTCAAGTAACGGACACATCTCAACATCAACTGTTCAGAGGAGACTGTGTAAATCAGGCCTTCATGGTCGAATTGCTGCAAAGAAACCACTACTAAAGGACACCAATAAGAAGAAGAGACTTGCTTGGGCCAAGAAACACGAGCAATGGACATTAGACCGGTGGAAATGTGTCCTTTGGTCTGATGAGTCCAAATTTGAGATTTTTGGTTCCAACCGCCGTGTCTTTGTGAGACGCGGTGTGAGTGAACGGATGATCTCTGCATGTGTATTTCCCACCATAAAGCATGGAGGAGGAGGTGTTATGGTGTGGGGGTGCTTTGCTGGTGACACTGTCTGTGATTTATTTAGAATTCAAGGCACACTTAACCAGCATGGCTACCACAGCATTATGCAGCGATACGCCATCCCATCTGGTTTGGGCTTAGTGGGACTATCATTTGTTTTCAACAGGACAATGACCCAACACACCTCCAGGCTGTGTAAGGGCTATTTTACCAAGAAAGAGAGTGATGTACAATGTACAATGTACAATGTAGAAAATAGTAAAATAAAGAAAAACCCTGGAATGAGTAGGTGTGTCCAAACTTTTGACTGGTACTGTATGTTCTCCTACTTAACATTGTCAGAGCCACCTGCAGAAACCATCACAAGCCTTGTATTCATATCATCTCCCTCAGGAAACACGCTATGAGCCTTGTGCTTACAGTGGAAACCCTCTATGGATTGCTTCCTCTCCCTCTCGTGATGCAAAGTATGAATGGCATACTTAAGAAACACTTTACAGTTAATAAGGCAGCGAGCAGCAATCCCTTTCCCAGAGCGAGGTTTGAGGTATGTATGACACACACACACATCAGTTGACACAGTGCCTTCAGAAAGTATTCATACCCCTTGACTTATTACACATTTAGTAAATATAATTGTTTTTCATCCATCTACACACAATACCCCATAATGACAAAGTGAAAAAAAAAAATTGTTGTTGTTGAAATTTAGCAAAAATATATATAGAAATATCTCATTTACATAAGTATTCACACCCCTGAGTCAATACATGTTAGAATCACCTTTGGCAGCGATTACAGTTGTGAGTCTTTCTGGGTAAGTCTCTAAGAGCTTTGCACACCTGGATTGTACAATATTTGCCCATTATTATTTTCAAAATTCTTCAAGCTCTGTCAAATTGGTTGTTGACCATTGCTACACAACCATTTTCAACTCTTGCCATAGATTTTCAAGCAGATTTAAGTCAAAACTGTAACCCGGCCACTCAAGAACATTCACTGTCTTCTTGGTAAGCAACTCCAGTGTAGATTTGGCCTTATAGGTTATTGTCCTGCCTACTGAAAAGTGAATTAATCTCCCAGTGTCTGGTGGAAAGCAGACTGAACCAGGTTTTCCTCTACGATTTTGCCCGTGCTTAGCTCCATTCTGTAAATATTTTATCCTGAAAAACTCCCCAGTCCTTGCAACAATGACAAGAAGCTGCCATGTGGGAAATCATAGGTGGTTCGTTTCAGCTCATTGTACCTTGTTAGTGTCTTGTTCTGAGGTGTTTTGACTGATGCCATGTCTATGCTAATATGGCTGAAATTCGCTAGCGAACTAACCAACAACTAAAACAATGTATTTGAGAGATAACAAGTGCTCATTGTGCAAATGTATTTATGTTTTCAATAAACATTTGGAGACTAAATATAGTTTACATGTTGTCAACAGTCTAAGTCAACCCCATCTGTTTTGCACCATAGTTGCGCACGCGTCGGTTTTGTTGCTAAACAACCAACCCTTCTATAAAAACTTAATGAGTCATCCAACTAGATTAATAAAAATACTATATGTGGACTGCTATAGTCTCACCTGTTGAGAAAGGCGTTTCCGAAGGCGTTGAGCTTCCTGAAGGGTTTCTTGGGGTCGACAACTAGGGCGTTGCCAGGGATCACCCCCTCCGTGTCTCCATGCATCACTGCAATAAAGGAGTCTGTGGTGGGCTCCGGCCCAATCCGCATTCCAGGGAAATCCTGCTCCAACAGGTATCTGGGGAGTAATAGGTGAAATGGATCTCTGTTTATGCATTATTCTATTGTCCACTATCTTAGTTTACATTTTACTTTAGAGGCCCTGTACACCTGCCAGTTACATGGTAAAATCGTACTTAACCATATTTTTAAAGAACATACTAACATTTTTGAATTATAGGGTCAAGGTCAAGAGTTTCATCTTCAATCAGTCCAAATTGACATCACAGATGTGGTAAAAATCTAGTATAATTGTATAGAATGTGCAGAATCCTAGAAATGCATTGAATTGTAAATACTAGTGGTTTATAACTGAAAAGCAATAAACTGTCCTTTTAAACCACTTTAAACCTTTAAAGCAATAACAGATGTGAGGTCAACCAGCGGATACTCTATATATCCACTCTACACACATCTTGTCAAAGGGGTCAACCTAGCCGGCTAGTACTGTCTCTCTGTAGACACTGTTTAAATCCATAATACAGTGCTATTGCAACAAAAGATGACCAACAGTAGATGAGCAGGAGCACTGTCCAGAGCCAGATGTTTATCCTTCCCACAGCTCTGCCACTGAGGCTTCGATGAGATGAAGGGAGGCAGAGTGAAACTGGATTGATGGAGAGCACAGGGACTGCGTGCGTGTGTTTGGAAACAGACCAGAGAGGAAAGAGGGCCTGTGTGCTTTCATAGCACTGTGGACTGAGGAGTCAGCACACACAAACACAGGCCTAGCTCTTTCCCTACCACTCTCCCTACTGCAGCCGCCACATAGGCCTGCACGTCCTCTATGAACAATGCACACAGGAAACTAAAGACACTGACTATGGCCCTATCCTGCAGGACAGTGACCTCACATAGGGCACAAATCACAGAGAAAGGGAGAGTAGCCCAACTAGCCCTGCCCACCTCTCATTTTCCTCTATCCCCAAGCCATTAGAGAGACTAGCTCTAGAAACTCTGACAGTGGACTGGACCATGACAGGCAGCATAGGAAACCAACACCCCACTGGGCAAAACACTGGTTGAATCAACGCTGTTTCCACGTCATTTCAATGAAATTACATTGAACCAACGTGGAATAGATGTTGAATTGACATCTGTGGCCAGTAGGACAAAGTCATCACCTGACTTGGCCAGTGCTGAACCATAGCTGATTAAACATTCAAACATTTCCAACTTTTGAAATGGACTCCTATAGAGGGTGTACATACAGTATGGTCTGACTTTAGTATAAAGTTTAGCAAAAAATAAAGTATTATCATATAGAAAGCTCCCAGATGTGTGATATTGTTATTAGATGAAATGCGCTCCATATCTAATGCAATCATGTCCAGGGATTGGTATACCTGGAATTTAGCATGTCTGATGCCAACCAGAGAGGATTTCAGGGATTTCTCTCTCTGTCTGTACCAAGGGACCGCGACCACGCCTGGTTACAGAATGTTGTTTGCAAGTCACCGTGGATTTCAAAGGACTGCCTAATTAAGACCAGTTATATGGCCAGACTGAGACAGAACCCTATCAACCAACCCACACTCAGCTGTCATTCTCACCCACACTTGCAAAAGCATGAGAACAAAGCTCTACTATTCAATTACTTGACCCAAACATGATAACGCGTTTGCAAATAAGTACTACAATCTATGAAGGGCTATGAAGGAGAAGTGCCCTAAAGCTAATAACTCACTTAGACAGTACAAACTAAAGGGGGCTAGGAAGTGAGAGTGCCCCAAAGCTTTCCAGACCTTAAAACCTGATCCTATACAGTAAGTGCTTCCGGTGGCCAGGGGCATTCTCTACATGATTCCAGACTGATGTCTCTCACTTGTCGCGCCTCTCTATAACTCCTGGACTAGTCGCTATGGAAACTATTAGTGACATGTTGCTATAGCAATAAGGGAGCTGATGAGAGGGTTGGAGAAAACAGGGCTTATCAGTGAGAGGACAGCAGAGGACTGCATCTCATCTCTGGCCTTGGGATAGCAGGAGAAGCACTAGCAATCACTGGCATTACTGCACAGCTAGAGGGATGCACTTAGTGTCACCAGTAAAGTTTGATGTGGAAAACATGCCACCACAAAGGCAATGATACAAGGAGAGAGCCGGAAAGGATCCTATTACTTACTGCACACCTGTGTATTACTCAACTCACAGTACAGGTTCAACTACCTTCTGCTTTTCGCATGCCCATACAGCACACACTACTGATTGTAGTAAATTATACATGGCTGAAGTCTAGACATGCATAGAGTTCCCATGTCCTTACTCTGGGGTAGCAATGTTATTTAATTCATAGTTCAGCTAAGATGTCTGTCCTATATTTAGCATGATGTTTGGCTGGAAGTCATGGTGAACGTAAATAGATTAAATGCGTGACCTTCGCTGCATGGAAGCTCAATTTAAATCTGGCCTCCCATCCCATCTCCAAGACAAAGTTTGCTTTGTGGTAGGCTCAGAGAGACCAACACACATGCTTTTGGGTCCAATATTTTTCCAATATCTTGTATTCCTTTGATGAGCACTAAGTGAGATGGTTGGCATGCCATTTAGCAGTCCATAGGGAAATGCTGGAATTTAACTTGGAAACATGATCTGTTCCATGGTCATGGGCTAGTTTAACAGACAAATCAATGGAACAGCAGACATTCCTGTGTTATGGGTGTGACTATAAGGGAACATTGCAGATGATTACTGTAACATGTAATCATAAAATGGCATTGAGGATTATAGGATTGTAATAGGTATAACTATGTCTATAACTATGTAATACCACTAGATTTCCATAATGTACTTATATATTTTTGTAGTCATCTATACCATAAGAGGTGAATGCTAACCCAGCAGGTTGCTCTCTTGTCTGTTGGAATGTCTCATCCCTCCCAAGTCAGAGTATGTCAATATTTGACCTGTGTCTGCCCAAGGTTGAACAGGAATCCAGTCAACCCAAACACTAACCGATTTATCTTCCTAGGACCATTTGTTCTACAATAAAAGCTAACTGTAAATATGCAGTGCCTGCCATGCATGTAATGTCCCCTCTGTTTGCATATCAGTGCACAAAACTCACTAGTGTTTTGGCCTACTGAGTGGCAAGCAAAGCACCCACATTTCAAACACAGACGTACCGTATGAAGCTGGTCTTTCCAGTGGAATACTGCCCCACAAGGAGAACCATGGGCTTGTTGTCAAAGTCGGCATCCTCTAAGGCGGGCGAGTGGAACTCGTGGAATTTGTAGTGTTCCTCCAAGGGTAACAGCTTGGTTTTGTAGAGCTTCTTGAGGCCATCGCTGACTGTCTGAAAGACCTCAGGATCCTTCTTCCTCCTGTCATCGGTACCCAACCAGCTGAACATGATGCAATTCGATAATGGACAACCTTATACTCTATAGAGATGTCTATTCAAATAATTCGGAGGATCTCTTTGTTATTGGTTTAGTGGATGGTTTGTTTTTCTTTCAATCAAACATTATGCAGACACATCCTTGAATGGAAAGCGTTCCCCAAGTCTTTATAGGCCAAACACGAGACAAAGATGCACAGACGACTAAAAGTCAGTTAATTGACTAGACTAAACACATACTAGCGATCCTAAACATTTTTACATGCACATTTACATATCACAGCTATAAAGCACGAATTTCATTCAAGTTGTAGAAGAATCCCAAAAATGATGCACGTATGAAGCTGGCAAATTGTGATGTCGTCTTACATTTGAATTCTGACGCGGTTGAATCTTCAAAATACTGTCCTGTATAATATACCCTTTTCGAGCCAAATGAAGAAAATAATAATAAAGCTATAATAAAGCGTATATTCCTACTGCTGCGTTGAATCCTGTGCGGCCACTGGCTTCCCCGGCTTCGTTACTGCAGCATATTTAAATGCCAGTCTGACAACGAAACCTGAGCCGAAAGGAAATGCCCAACTACTGGCAAAGCCCCACCCAGTATTACAGCGACTGAAGTCAGTGATGGCAGCGCCATATTAGCGGATGAGGACCACTAGCATCTCATTGTTGGTGCTCCTCTAGTGGTACAATGTAACAAACAATTTGTGATCACAAAATTGCTACGTACATTGTATCAGTTATCAGTTGCAAGCTTGTTGTTTGGATAAGAGCGTCTGCTAAATGACTAAATGTAAAATGTATAACAAGCTGTCATCATACATTACCAAAGAAAATAGACATTCCCATATACATATACCTACACATATATTGCATGTGTCATTTAATATATTTATATATATATATATATATATATATATATATATATATATAAAGTGTTTTACTTAAAACAATATTGTAATAAAATCTTCACTTGAATAAAAATACAAAATACAAAAGTGTTACAAAAAGGTTTACTTATGATGCAGCCCACAAAAATGGAGGGTATATTGGAACTAAATTGAGGAGAGGATACAACATAATTGTCTCAAGTGTAGGGTAGGCCTACGGTGTACAATGTAGCCTACAGTGATGTCAAAAGTCGTAGAGACACAATTGTCCAAATTTAGAGAGAGGGGCAGAGGCCATGGTAGGACATCTATTCTTTCCCTTACAGTATATTCTATATACCAGTATGACACCTGCTGGACAACATTTAAGCACACAATAGTTTATGGTTGATGGATTATTCGACGACTGAACACCACTAGATGGTACAACAAGACAATACTTGTTTGATCCGTTTGCTATTTATTTTTTAGGTCAATAAATTCAGTCTAGAAGTAAATCTAAGTGTGATTAGACAATATCAAAAGTACAGTACAATATGTAGGGTGAATTCGGAATTGTCAATAAAGATATGTTCTATTCTAACCTATGTGTCTTTTGTGGCGAAACCTAGTCCCACCTGTTCAATGGTCGCTGCAACTAGCTCTCACAGTCTCACATCAGAATTAGACGTTCATCCATGTTTCTCAAACATAACATTTCGAAGTTGTTGGAAATGTCAAATTTCGAAGTGTTTCAGGTTAAGTGTATGCATTAACTCTGAATTTTAAAGGTTAGGGTTAAGTTTAGGCATTAATTCCGAAATCTTAAGGTTAGGAAATAACTACAAATTGTTAACATAAGGGTTAAGATTTAGGATAGGCTTAAAACAAAAAACTCAAAAACAACTTTCTATTGCTGGATTCGAATTTACAACCTTTGGAATCAGATGCAGATGCTGCCACCAGTCTGCCATCCCCATCCACAGTGCCCCGCCATCCCCATCCACAATGCCCTAGCAAAACCGAAACATAATTGAAGGTAACAGCGCTCACTGTTACCCCTAGTGGCCGGTTTCCATGTCATCTCCCGATATCCCCAGACATGCATGGACGTCGAATACTGACTTGTATCACGGGTGACCTAGCTGGGTCACCAGTATTATAATACCCCATAACTCTGGAGAAAAAAAACTGGAGCTGAATTAGGCTGCATAATTGATTATAGACTATATACATTACTGCATTCAGGCTAGATACATTGAAAGTACAATAGACTACAGAACCTTGTATATTATGATTTACACGGTAGGTGGTGCTAAACCCATTCAGATTTTATAGGTACCCCCAACCGGCTGATTTTTATCTAGCTGGACGGCTTCCAGCGTAGTACTTCGTAGCTCCAGCGAGTCATCGCTGTGTAACAGCCTACTACCAGTCTGGTAATAGAGAATCTCGCAACCAGGGCATGAGTCTGGAGCGAGCGTGCAGCGCTCGAGAAGAGGAACCATAGAATGTGAGAGTAGCGCGCAAAACCACGTCTCCACAACCGACTTTCCTAGAATTCCTAGAAATGTGCTTCTCGTAGATTCCCCATCGCCAATAAAGGGTCGATATCTGCTCCAGTAACTCATAGGAAAATGAAACGGCTTTCCCGAAAGCTGACTTTGGCGTTGGTGGTGCTTTGTTGGATTGCTGCGCTACTGTATTTGACACTCCTAAGTAGGCAGAAAGTATCGGACCTGAGGACTAAAGACGCACAGTACGGAAAGGTAAGCAACACTATCAGTTCTTATCTGATATCATTGTATCTATATCACACAATATCACTTCCTATGCATTTAGCAGTAGTGTAGGCTACACTTGGACCAGTGCTAGGTGCGCATAGGTAATGCGTGTTTCTATGAAAATATTTATTGAGGCTTGAGAGGGTGTCAGAATTTCCACGGAGCTTTAGGCACACAGAGAGTGTATCACGGCTACCGCTCGACATTGCTTTCTAGAAGTTTGCAGACTACATACAACCAGTTGTTCCTAACTTTTCGGGTTGACTGGATTTGTGTGCATACATTATCTATTGCAAAGTGCAGTTTCAAGTGGTTAAACGTTTCAAGTTTTAAGTTTTAACGTCACGTGCACACGTACAGTGAAATGCCTTTCTTGCAAGCTCTAAACCCAACAATGCAGTAATCAAAAACAATGTAATGCTAAAAATTACATTAGGTAGAACAAAAACACACAACAAATAAAATAAGAAATAAGAAGAACACGAGAAAGTAAGTAAGCATACTATATACAGGGTCAGTCAGTTCCAGTATCATAAAGTATTTACAATGTGCAGGGATACTGGAGTTATAGAGGTAGATATGTATAAGGGTGACTAGGCATCAGGATATATAATAATGTGTTTATAAGCAGTTTATTGATGTTTAGATGTGTTTCCTGTACATTCCCTATGTTCAAAATGTAGGCTACTACATAATTTATTACACTGATATATGAATTCCTCAAATACATTAATTCCTCAATCCGTTGTTAACATAATTTAAACATAATTTAAACTGTATCCATGAATGTCTGCCTATTGGCCCTTTATAGCCACCTGGTCTAGCTGTTCTGTACTTGTGTCTGAAAATGCAGCATTACCAGTCAATAGGTTCAGGAATTGACTTGTAATAGGTGGTCCCTGTCTGAAAATACATTTTTAATGAACTGATGGACATAATGTGATGGAATAATACTGTCTACCTTTACCAAGACAGCCAGACTGTGGCAATTATAGCCATCAAAGGTGTAACCTTTTACAGCGGACACATTTCTATGCTATTTTATAAAGGCAGCTTTAATGAAACCATTTCCACTTTCCCCCCTGAAGTAAAACTTGTTTTGTTGCAGTGCAGAAGCCAGATTTTATCATATTTTGGGGTCCAGTTATTATGGTATATCTGGGGTTTTTTCAAAAGCTTTCTGCTAAAATTGTTGTATGCCACTCCAAATGCCCCAGGTCAATGAGCAAGTGAGTGCTTTTCAGTGTAGGAGCTGAATGTTGGAATTACACTTGTGAAGTAGGCACTTGAGTCTGGATTGATTGATTCAGTTTCAAAATGGTACACAACAAAATCAATGGTGTACATTTATCTCGGAAAGTGTTAAATGTACACTATTTACAGTGAACACAAGAGTCCCACTGAACTGGTGTTAAAATAACACTTTTGAAAGTTTTTAAGATGTAACTCTGTTGCAGTGTTCCCCATTCAACTCTTAAAGTGTTCAAATGAACTTGATTGTGGTGTTTGCATAGCTCTACTGTAGAGTAATATGCAGCACCCACAGTGTAAAACATAACACTTGATTTAGAGTAAACTTGACTCATTTTGCATAGTGCTCACACTGTTACACGTTCTCAGTGTAAGAATTGAACACCTGTAGTGTTACACTAAATCGTTTTAGGGTGTTGTTTTAACACTGTATGGTGTAAAGCACATGTGTCAAACTCATTTCATGGATGGCCAAGTGTCTGTGGGTTTTCGCTCCTTCCTTGTACTTGATTGATGAATTAAGGTCACTAATTAGTAAGAAACTCCCCTCACCTGGTTGTCTAGGTGTTCATTGAAAGGAAAACTGCACCACTTTGTTTCTCTCCATCGCCCACACACTTTCAACATTTAGATAATAACGCATTTTACCTTTCCATTGTGTTAACAATGGAGGATTGGTTGATTTCCAGTTTTTAAGTATACGTTTTTTTCAAGATAATTGACGAGAAAAGTATTGTCCAACCCATCGGGTATCTCACTGCATCCTCAAAGGCCATGTCTTGAAATATGCAGACAGACTGATTAAAAGTACATTTACATTGTAATACTTCTGACAGCCAACTTTCTAACTCCACCCATACCATTTGGACTTTATAGCATTCCCAGAAGGCATGGATTATTGAGTCATTGCTAATTTACACATAAGACATGACTGCCATTGTGCTGTAGAATTTGTAAATGTTGTCACTTGTGTAATAAATTCTATACATTAGTTTATACTGGATTAAGCGTACATTTTCGTTTAACTGTCATTTCATTAGTTATGTTCCAATATTCCCTTCATCTTGTGCCAATATCAGTTCTTTTTAAGTCATGGTTCCAA